GTCACCAGACTCGAAACGTTAACTCTGATTTTCTCTTTGCAGATGCTGCCAGACCTGCTGAGCTTTTCTAGCAACTTCTGTTTTTGTTCCTGATTTACAGCATCTGTAGTTCTTTCAGCTTTTATTAAGTCCAATATCGCTGTCTTCTGAACTGCTTGACCCTGGTAACGTACAATCTACAGTCATGTTTACAGACACAGAAGCACTTATCTCTCTTCATTAACAAATCCTCAAATGCTTGTCCTTCCACATTCCTTCCTGAGCAGCTGGACCACCTAGAGTGCCAGCACCTTGGCTCTGGCTGCCCTTCATAAAAGCATGAAGACTCATGTTTTCCGAGATTGAGAAATGGTTTACAAGTGAGAGAAACTCAGGCAATTCCCTCACTACCTGCCTGATCCCCTTCCTTTGTCGTCAGTCACTCATTCCATCTCTATCTGCAGCTTAAGCTGGGGTGACCACATCCTGAAGCCTGCTATCGACAAACCTCTCAGCTTTGTGAATACACAATCGTGTCCCAAGCCTTTGCTTAAGCTCCAATGGCTGGAGCTCAAATTGCTCTGCCCGGAAGCACCTCGGGTTCATGTGTCCATTCAGGCCACTAGGAGCATCTAGGATATCCTATAAGGCATAGGGTGAGAAAATAATGAGTCTGAACTCCCCAGACATGCCTTAATAGAATATAAATACTTTATTTTACAGTTGATGCTACCCAAGAATACATGTGGAAATATATTGTTCTTGTTTTTATCTCAAATCCCATTCAAGCCTGCTGCCAATCTGTCTGCTTCTCTGTGATGATTCTTATCTTGTTGGTAATGCTGACTGCCTGTCACAAGGTTTTCACTTCACCTGCTCCTCTTCAGTGTGTTATGATAGTATAAGAGCTGCACTTGTTTTAAAATTGAAAGATTTGAAGTGGAGCCTGGCAAAAGTTCCACTTTCAGTCTCATTCAAGCATAGGTTATGTGTATCCGCCTACCGCCCACCTGAGAACAAAGGAGAGAAAATCGAGATCATGACAACACAAATAAAAGCAATATCTAATCACAGCAGTTCTAAACAAAATCCTAGACACACCCAAACACAAATGAGTTTGTGCTGGTCAAAAGCCTCACCCACAGATGACTTGAATACTGTTTTTTTTTGGTAAATTTTTGATGTATTTTTTTAAATCTTGTGTGGCTATTCATTCGTCATGAGGCCGTACCTTGCAGCTGACGTAGACCACTTTCACTTCCATTATAGGGTGGAGGCATTGTTGCTCCACAGGTACAGCCCTGCCTCTGAGCTAAAAACTCTGAGCACCAGTCCCAATTCAGGACCTGTCCATGGAAGAGGCATTCTAGATATAGTCAAGCAGATTTGATAATCAGCCTGCTAATCTCCTTGCAATACTTCCTTACTATTCCCCAAAGGGAAAAATAGGTATGTTAAGTACAGGATGTTTCCTCATTCTTCCATTCTCAAAACAAAATGAATAAAAGACCATAAGTTAGTTATAGGAGCAGAATTAGGCCACTCAGCCGATCAAGTCTGCTCTGCCATTCAATCGTGGCTGGTATGCTTCTTAACCCACTCTCTTGCCTTTTCCCCATAACCCTTGATTCCCTCAGTCATCAAGAACCTATCTATCTCTGTCTTAAATGCATTCAATAACTCGGCCTCTACATCCTTCTGCAGCAATGAGTTCCACAGATTCACCACCCTCTACCTGAAGAAATTCCTCCTCATCTCAGTTCTCAAGTGTCGTCTCTTCACTCTGAGGCTATGCCCAAGGGTCCTAATCTCTCCTACTAGTGGAAACATCATCTCCACGTCCACTGTATCCATGCTTCTCAGCATTCTGTAAGTTTCAATCAGATCTCTCTCATCCTTCTAAATTCTGTCAAGTACAAACCCAGATTCCTCAATCATTCCTCATATAACAAGCCCTTCATTCCTGGGATCAATTTTGAAAACCTCCTCTGGACCCCCTCAAAGGCCAGCACATCCTTCCTTTAGATACAAAACTGCTCATAATATTGCAAATGCTGTCTGACCAGAGCCTTATACAGCCTCAGCAGTACATCCTGCTCTTGTATTCTAGCCCTCTTGAAATGAATGCTAACATTGCATTTGCCTACCTAACTACCAACTGAACTGCATGTTAATCTTGAGAGAATCATGAACTAGGACTCCTATGTCCCTTTGTGCTTCAGATTTCTGAAACTTTATCCCATTTAAAAAAAGGTATGCCTCTATTCTACCTACCAGAGTACATAACCTAATAATTTCCCACATTGTATTCCATGGGTCACTTCTTTGCCCATTCTCCTAGCCAGTACAAGTCCTTCTGCAGCTTCCCCACTTACTCAACACTACGTACCTTTGTGTCATCTGCAAGTTCAGCAACAACGTCTTCAGTTCCTCATCCAGATCATTTGTGTATGACGTGAATAGTTGTGGCCCCAACACTGACCCCTGCAGAACTCCATTAATCACTGGCTGCCATCCTGAAAAAGACCTCTTTATCCCCACATTCTGCCTTCTGCCAATCCTGTATCCACGTCAGTGCCTTGCCTCTAACACCATGGGCCCTTACCTTATTTAGCAACCTTCTGTATGATCTCCTGCCAAATGCCTTCTGGAAATCCACATACATCCACTGGCTCTCCTTTGCTCGTTACCTCCTCAAAGGATTCTAACAGACTTGTCAGATGTGACCTCCCGTTGACGAAACCAAGCTGACTCAGCTCTATGTTATCCTGTACTTCCATATACTCTGCAGTCTCATCCTTGTTAATGGAACCTAAAATCGTACCAATGACTGAGGTCAAACTAACTGCCCAATAATTTTCCATGTTCTGCCTCCCTCTCTTCTTAAATAGGGCTGTTACGTTAGCCACCTTCTCTTTAGAGATGGCCACTACACTCATCTCTGCCCTCTGATGCTCTTAAAACTTTAGGTTTACAAATGAAGTTACTGTTGAATGGAATTAGTACTTGAATTGCCAAAATAATTTGTTATAGTGCTGTTTGACTATGGCTCAAAACTGATGCATGGATCTGATCAGCAGCTCTGTTATCACTGCACTCAGAATTAAACAGATGGATGCAATAAAGAAAGTGACTAATGGCACACTTGTCCCTTCAACATAGATTGGAAAATCAGAGTGAATTTCTCTACACAACTTGCATATCTGGAGAGAAAGCCGAGTCAACATTTTGGGTCCAGTGACCCTTCAGAATGGATCACTGCCAAGAAAGGTAGATATTATTTGTAGTTCTCTAGGATTGGGTTCAGCCGGGGTGTGTAGGTGCAGGAAGTTGGAATTGGGAAATGGGGACAAGGAACTGAATCTCTGTGGCCATCCCCTTGCCCTCAGTTCACTCCCTCAGTATTGCAGAAATTATCCTATATTGAGGTAATCAACCCCTGTCCCAAACTGACAGTCCGGTACACAGTTTTACCGGGCTGACTCCATCTTGTCTCATGTGGAGAAGCGGTAATTGCAGCCCGAGTGGGATAAGGCCCTTAAGTGGTTATGAAATGACCATAGATCCTTAATTGGCTGTAGCGCAGGAAAGATGAGCTTGGGACTTCCTGCCTAGAATGTAATTTCTGTGGTGACAAGAAAGCAGCAGAGGTTCCCTTGAAGCCAACTCACCTCTGTTATCTTCCCTTCCCTACTGCTTTTCAGCAGGGGAGATTCTATCCATCATTTTAGTATATATGTACGTCATGCCTCTTTTCTGATGAAACCCCAAAGAATAGAAAGGGTTCAGAAAAGATTTACAAGGATGTTGCCAGGGATGGAGGGCTTGAGCTATAGGGAGAGACTGAGTAAGCTGGGGCTATTTTCTCTGGCATGTCGGAGACTGACGAGTGACCTTACAGAGGTTTATAAAATCATGAGGGGCATGGATAGGGTGAGTAGCCAAGGTCTTTTCTCCAGGGTAGGAGAATCCAAAACCTGTGGATATACGTTCAAAGTGAGAGGGGAAAGATTTAAAAAAGACCTAAAAGGCAACTTTTTCACAGAGGGTGGAGCATGTCTGGAATGAGCTGCCAGAGGAAGTAGTGGAGGCTGGTACAATTACAATATTTAAAAGGCATCTGGATGGGTATACGAATAGGAAGGGTTTAGAGGGATATGGGCGAAATACTGGCAAATGGGACTAGATTAGTTTCGGATATCTGGTCAGCATAGACAGGTTGGACCGAAGAGTCTGTTTCCATGCTGTAAGCTCTATGGCTCTAATATGACTGTAGTAGTATACCAGACACTACCAAGCAATCCATGCCATGTGCATTAGAAAGCAACACATGACCAATTATCATGAAATACCTAAAATTTTGCTGAGCTTATCAGCACCTTCAAGATAAAAATCAGTAAAGCGAGATTAAGGAAGTCTAAGAGTAGGAGTTTCTTCAGGAACATTAGTAGAAACGATAATCAAGGAATTGTCTCTGCAACATGTTACTCAAAAGGATTTGTTTTGTTTAATAAAGAAATACAGACAGGTCTCTGTGATGGTTATCATTTCAAATCTTGCTTATTTCAAGTAGAGCTAAATGACTATAAAATAGCAGGAATATCTCTGTTCACTCTACTTATTGCAACGTCTGAGATGCTACAAATTGTTGAGACGTTTAGACTTGAGTAGACCATTGTAAGGCTATTGGCATGTAATAACTCCATGCCACATATCTTTTTAAATATACATCCTTGATTATCAGGAATACTGCAACAATGCATCATTAATCTTTTATTGATTCCTGCAGCTCTGTACTGCCTTTGAATATTCCACTCTAATTTTCACAGCAATTGTAACTATTTAATGACTTTCATTAATTCAAATAAAACAAATGCAAAAACACTAGTGAGTTTGCTTACAGATTAAATTACATTACAGATTTTTTTGTGCCCCAGAACTTAAATTCCAATACTAACATTCATCTGCTTTCAAATATATTTTACATCATCCCAAAACATTTACTTAGTTACTCATCTTACCTGATCCTCCGCCATTTAAGAAAAAGTATGATGATCAGAAAAAGTGCAAAGAAGGACAAAGTGTACATGCTTATTCCAGAAAAATTCCTTCTTTCTTCCTTCTCTGGTAATGCTATGTGCTTTGAGTCAGATCTTTTGAATCTCAGCTGTAAGAACAAGCCTAATTCTATAATCGCAGTAGCAACAGGTTTGACCTGCCCTGTCAAAGTGATACAGTGCAAAACCATGTCAGCCTTTATAACTGAGATGCTGAATTCAGAATATGGCAAGTTTCCATTTTTTAGGGCCCACCCCTTTTTTCAAATGGACGTGCTCTACTCATGCTGTAAGATTCAAGTTACGTTTAAAACACCATAAAATCTTGACACATGAGATTTGAACTAGAACTTAATCTGTTATTTGGATATTCCTTGAAGAGGCAGCTCAGAGATAAACTATAGAGTACTTTGGTTAAATAACTTGCAGCTCCTGACATACAAAATTCTGTTCAGATTTCTCCACCTTTGAGAGAGTTTGTCAAGTTATCACCATCATACTCTTTTTTAAATTTGCCTCTATTAAGCTAATAAAATTATAAATAATTCTGCTTGGATGGCGATCAATTTGTGTTTAATATTCAAAGACAGAGAACATGAGATTTGAATAACACCATTGCCTAATTTTATGGGAAGTAATTAAAATTAGAAATAGATCAGTATTATTTACTTAATATTAAACTGAACAAAATTAGCAGTTATTTAATTTGTTCAATATCAGTAAATGGGATAAACAGCACAGAATTACACAGGGTATGGTTTAAATTTGTGGCATGTGAAGTTGTCCTGTACACGGATATAGTTGATTTTTTTTGTGTGCCTGATTCTATTGGGCAGGAGGTGGCAGTGAAAGCCTTTAAGTTGCCCAATGGAATCAGCAAGATTGGATCATCTTTCATGGGAGGACCCTATTGCCATAATCTGGTGAGGTAGGAGTAATGAAGCCCTGTAGTTTATCAATTATTCAGGCTGTCAGGAGTAGGACTGAAAATTAAGGGTGTGGAATATTGAAAGGTTGACAGAAAGCCAAAGTAATTTTGTTGGACAGGAGTAATATTTTCCTTTCAGGACTACTTGTTAGATTGTTCATTGACTAGCACCAGTGGGTAAAGTATACTTAACTCGTTTTGTGATTACTTGTACATAGGAATGACATTGAGATCCTGCCTGGGATTCTCATTTAAACCTTAAAATGAGCCTTCCAGCTATTTCGAGTGAGAGCACCAATCACCCACTTTGAGGCCTTCTGAATCTAACAGGTATCTGAAACTTCAGGTATCCTTGACTTTCAGCAGAATATAAAATATACAAAATACACAGCATTCACATTTTGAAATATGAAGCACAAGCTACACCTCCATTAGATAACATGCCAAAGGGTTGCGCACTACTCAGTGAGGCAGCTATTGTATTACAAGTTATAATAACAATAACACACAAAGAATAAACAACACAGGTCTATAGGTCAGTAGAAATCAAATATTTAAACACTAAATATCTGACTTCTGTAAAATACTTAAACAAAACAAAAGGTCAGATAAAACTCTTCTGATGTTGGCTCTCAGTCCTCATAATGATCTATTTTCTCCTTGCTGTCATCATTAATTGTTTATGTTTCAGGATGAGTAATATATTTCTCAAGTGCTTAAAGTTTTAACAACTTCCATACGAAAGTGAATTTGTATTAAGCAGAGATTGTCAGATTTGGCTGTGAGTGTTTCTACTTATAATTTTGTAATATGTGAATTTTGAAATCCATGAAAAAGAACTAAATTTCCAATAATCAAATATGATGACTATCCATGTTGCTATTGTAATGTGCAACTATAAATGAAAGTCATTCGGACTGAAAAGTTCTAGACAATTGTAAAGAATGCCCCTGAAACCCCTAGTTGATTCTTCCTGTTTCTCACCACATCTCTGCTAAAAGACCAACACAGGAAATTAGCTAAATCCAAGTTATGCCAGGTCACCGTTGTTTCAGTAAACTTATACATGTTGGGAAATCCTTCAGGCAATTGATAACGAAGGTTGAAATATAGTTTTTTTTTGGTTTAGTTCCACTATTGAATTCTATTTGGACATCTTGCTGTGTAATTTATGACAACTACCTAACAGTGCCTATAAAATTCTGACTTTAAAATTCTGCAAAACTCCTATTTACACAATATAATACATTACACTCTGTAAGGTAAATACATCTCTCTAATACAGACTGCTCATTCTTAATCCCTAGCACATGACTACTCATAGCATTGTTACATCCCTGTTTCTTCATTCTACATCTACCCCAAAGTGTAATAGTAATTCTTTCTATAACATCTTTTCTTAAATCAGTTACATTCCCACCATATCCATCCCAAAGTCTGAACTTCACAGGTCAAACCTCTGTGGTACTATTGCAGCTCTCCCTGACCTTGTTCTTGTCACCAATGACCAAGACCAATGTTCATTGACTGGGTCACCATGCCGTGAGGCAATTTGATATCATCGTCTTGTCATCACTCAGAGTTTTTGGTATTCAAACTCATTTGTCCTTGTGACGTTTAATAACATGAAGGCTTCTCTGGATGTCCCAAACTTTCAAACCAGTTTGAAGAGATGGGATTCTGTATATTCAATTGTCATAGTCATAGAGGTGCACAGCACAGAAAAAGGCCCTTCGGCCCATTGTTTTTGACTGGTGCAGACTCAATCACCGAACTATTCTAATCCTATTTTCCAGCACTTGGCCTACAGACTTGCACACCTTGGCATTGGAAGTGTACGTCTAAATACAACTTAAACATTATGAGCAGTTCTGCCTCCTACAACCCTTACAGGCTGTGAGTTCTAGATTCCCACCACCCCTGGGTAAAAAAAAAGTCTCCTCATATTTCCTCTAAACCTCCAATGCTTTACCTTAAATTTATGCCCCTGATTACTGACCCCTCCACCAAGGGAAAATTTCCTACCCCATCTAGCCTATCTATGCCCCTCATAATTTTATACATCTTAATCATGTCCCTCCTTCAGTCTTCTCCACTCCAAGGAAAATAACCCCAGTCTAGCTAATTCATAACTAAAACCCTCCAGCGCAAGCAACACAGAAATCATAAAAATGAAACAGCATCGAAGAGGGACACTTGGCCCATCTTGTCCATGCCAACCCAAGGGCACCCAGATGCCCCTTTTAATACCATCTTCCTGCACATGGCCCACAGCCCTGCAGCTTACATCACTTAAGGTGTGGATGCAGGTATTTTTAAGGAGTTTAGGGTCTCTGCCTTCACCATCAACTGGGCAGTGAATTCCAGACACCTACCACCCTATGTGTAAACTGTTTCCTCAAGTCCCCTCTAATCCTTCTGCCACACTCTTGAATCTATGATCCTGGTTTTTGAACTCTCTGCTAAGAGAAACAGGTTCTCCTGTCCAAATCTACCCTTCATGATTTTATATACCTCAATCATGTCACCCCTCCACCTTTCTGCGTTCCAAAGAAAACAACACTACCTCTCCTATCTCTCCTCATGGCTACAATTCTCCAGCCCTGGCAACACTCTAGTAAATCCTCCCTGCACTCTCTCCACAGCAATTATATTCTTCCTCTAATGTGGTGACCAGAACTGCACACAACACTCCAATTGTGGCCTCACCAGTGTCCAGTACAGTTTCGTCATTATATCCCGACCTTTGTATTCTATACTTGCGCCTATGAAGGAGAGTATTCCATATGCCTTCTTTACAACCTTATCTACCTTCTAGGGACATATATATTTGCAAGCTAAGGTGTTTCACTCCATCTATTCCTGTCAATATATTCCCATTTATTGTGTATTCCCAGGTATTGTTTGACCTCCCTAAATACGTTACTTCACATGTATCGGAGTTGAACTTCATTTGCCACATTTCTGCCCATCCCACCAGCCCATCTGCATCATTTTGGAGCTTACAGCTACCCCCTACATTATCCATTTCAGGGCCAATTTTTGTGTGTCATCTGCAAGACTGTTTGTTTAAAGACTGCCTTCAAAATTTCAATATCTGATCATACTTTTTGACTAGGTATTAATGTTAATAATATCTTTACTTTATGCCTGGATGTATACTACTTCTTCTACGTTTCTTCATTGATCCTTTTCCATGTTGCTTACTTGCTCATGATCACTTGAGATATCAGATGTTATAGAAATATAGAAAATAGGTGCAGCTGTAGGCCATTCAGCCCTTCAAGTTTGTGCCACGATTCAATGTGATCGTGGTAATGTGATCACGATCAAGTAATTTCAGTGTCACATTCTGGCTTTCTCTCCATACCCCTTGATCCCTTTATCCGCAAAGGTCATGTCTCGCTACCTCTTGAATATATCTTATGAACTGTCCCCAACAGCTTTCTGTGGGAGAGAATTCCAGAGGTTCACAACTCTCTGAAAAAAGAAATTCTTATCTCAGTCCTGAATGGCTTACCTCGTTTTCTTAGATGTGACCCCTAGTTCTCCACCATTGGGAACATTGTTCCTGCATCTAGCTCGTTTAGTCCCATCAGGTTTTTATGTTTCTGTGAGATTTCCCCCCTCATTCTTCTAAATTCCAGTGAGTACAAGCCCAGTCAATCCAATCTTTTCTCATATGTCACTCCTGCCAGCCTGGTGAATCTTCCTCAAAAGCAAGAATGTCTTTGCTCAGACTAGGAGACCAAACCTGCACACAATACTCAACGTGTGGCCTCACTAAGGCCCTGTATAACTGCAGCAAGACATCCTTACTCTGATACTCAAATCCTCTCACTATGAAGGAGAGCATGCCATTATCTTTCCTCACCGCCTGCTGCACCTGCATGCCAATCTTCAACTGTTCTACCCTGACACCCAGGTTCCGTGGTACCTTATCTTTTCCTAAACTGCCACCATTCAGATAATCTGCCTTCCTGTTTTTTTTTGCAACCAAGGTGGATAATCTCGCATTTATCCACCTTATATTCTATTTGCCAAGTATTTGACCAATTAGTCATCCTGTCCAAGTCACCCTGCAACCTCTCAGCATCCTCCGCACAGCATACACTGCCACCCAGCTTAGTGTCATCTGCAAATTGAGATATTGCATTCAATTCCTTCATCCAAATCATTAACGTGAAAAGCTGGGGTCCCAGCACTGAACTCTGCGGTACCCCACTCATCACTGGCTGCCATTCTGAAAAGGACCCATTT